GTGAGCTTGGTTTTCTGTCATTCTGTTTTTCCTTGTGTCTGTGTGTCTGTATGTCTGTGTGTCTGTGTGTCTGAGTGTCCGTGTGTCTGTGTGTCATTGTGTCTGTGTGTCTGTGGGTCTCTGTGTCTCTGTGCCTGCGTGTCTGTGTGTCTGTGTGTCCCTGTGCTTGTGTGTCTGTTTTTTTATGTCTTTCTTTGTGTCCAGGTGTCTGTGTGTCTGTGTATCTGTGTGTCCGGTTGCCTGTGTGTCTGTGTGTCCGTGTGTGAGTGTGTCTGTGTGTGTGTGTGTGTGTTTCTGTGTGTCAGTGTGTCAGTGTGTTAGTGTGTCTGTGTGTGTATGTGACTGTGTGTCTGTGTGTCTGTGTGTCTGTGTGTCTGTGTGTCAGTGTGTCAGTGTGTCGGTGTGTCCCTGTGTGTGTCCGTGTGTCTGTGTGACTTTGTGTCTGCGTGTCCGTGTGTCCGTGTGTCTGTGTGTCTGTGTGTCTGTCAGTCTTTGTGTGTTGGTGTTGGTGTGTCTGTGTGTCTGTGTGTTGGTGTCAGTGTGTCCGTGTGTCCGTGTGTCTGTGTGTCCGTGTGTCCATGTGTCCGTGTGTCTGTGTGTCTGTTTGTCTGTGTGTCCGTGTGTCTGTGTGTCTGTGTGTCCGTGTGTCTGTGTTTCTGTGTGTCTGTGTGTCTGTGTGTCAGTGTGTCTCTGTGTCTGTATGTCCGTGTGTCTTTTGTGTCCGTGTGTCCGTGTGTCCGTGTCTTTGTGTCTGTATGTCTACGTGTCTGTGTCCGTGTGTCTGTGTGTCTGAGTGTCTGCGTGTCTGGGTGTCTGTGTGTCCTTGTGACTGGTTTTTGTGTGTCTGTGTATTCTTGTTTCTGCGTGTCTTTGTGTCTGTGTGTCTGCGTGTCCGTATGTCAGTATGTCTGTGTGTCTGTCTGTCTGTGAATCTGTCTGTGTGTCTGCCTTTCTGTGCGTCTGTGTGTGTGTGCATGTCTGTCTGTCTGTCTGTGCGCGTGTATTTGCGTGTGCGTGTGCGCGTGTGTGTGTGTGTCAGTGTCTGTGTGTGCGCGCGTGGCGCTGGCAGCCCCGTCGGTCTGTCTGTCTGTGTCTTTGTCTGTCTGTCTGTCTGTCTGTCTGTCTGTCTGTCTGTGTGTCTGTGTGTCTGTGTCTGTGTGTCCGTGTGTCTGTGTGCCTGTGTGCCTGTGTGCCTGTGTTTCTGTCTCTCTGTGTGTCTGTGTGTCTGTGTGGCTGTGTGGCTGTGTGTCTGTGTGTCTGTGTGTCCGTGTGTCTGTGTGTCTGTGTGTCTGCGTGTCTGTGGGTCTAGGTGTCTGGGTGTCCGTTTGTGTCTGTGTGTCTGTGTGTCTGTGTGTCTGAGTGTCTGTGTGTCAGTGTTTTTTTTTGCGTCTGTGTGTCTGTGTGTCAGTGTGTCCGTGTGTCTGTGTATCTGTTTGTCTGTGTGTCTGTGTGGCTTTGTGCCTGCGTGTCTGTGTGCCCTTGTGTCTGCGTGTCTCTGTGTTGGTGTTTCTGCGTGTCTGCGTGTGCCTGTGTGTCTGTGTGTCTGTGTGTGTCTGTGTGTCTGAGTGTCTGTGTGTCTGTGTGTCTGGTGCTGTGTGTGTCAGTGTGCCTGAGTGTCTGTGTGTCTGTGTGTTTGTGTATTTGTGTGTCTGTATGTCTGTGTGTTTGTTTGTCTGCGTGTTTGTGTGTCTACGCGTCTGTGTGTGTGTGTCTGTGTGTCTGTGTGTTTGTGTGTCTGTGTGTCCGTTTGTCTGTGTGTCTGTGTGTGTGTGTGTGTGTCTGTGTGTCTGTGTGTGAGCCTGGTTTTCTGTCTTTCTGTCTTTCCTTGTGTCTGTGTGTCTGTATGTCTGTGTGTCTGTGTGTCTGAGTGTCCGTGTGTCTGTGTGTCTGTGTGTCTGTGTGTCTGTGTGTCTGTGGGTCTCTGTGTCTGTGTGTCTGCGTGTCTGTGTGTCTGTGTGTCCCTGTGCCTGTGTGTCTGTTTCATTTTTCTGTTTTTCTTTGTGTCCGTGTGTACGTGTGTCTGTGTGTCTGTGTGTCCGGTTGCCTGTGTGTCTGTGTGTCCGTGTGTGAGTGTGTCTGTGTGTCTGTGTTTCTATGTGTCAGTGTGTCAGTGGGTTAGTGTGTCTGTGTGTGTATGTGATTGTGTGTCTGTGTGTCTGTGTGTCTGTGTGTCTGTGTGTCTGTGTGTCAGTGTGTCTGTGTGTCCCTGTGTGTGTCCGTGTGTCTGTGTGCCTGTGTGTCTGCGTGTCCGTGTGTCCGTGTGTCTGTGTGTCTGTGTGTCTGTCAGTCCTTTCTGTGTGTTTGTTTGTCTGCGTGTTTGTGTGCCTGTGTGTCTGTGTGTCTGTGTGTCTGTGTGTCTGTGTGTCTGTGTGTCCGTTTGTCTGTGTGTCTGTGTGTATGTGTGTCTGTGTGTCTGTGTTTCTGTCTCTTTGTCTTTCTGTGTGTCTGTGTGTTTGTGTGCCTGTGTGTCTGATTGTCCGTGTGTCTGTGTGTCTGTGTGTCTGTGTGTCTGTCGGTCTCTGTGTCTATGTGTTTGTGTGCCTGCGTGTCTGTGTGTCTGTGTGTCCCTGTGCTTGTGTGTCTGTCTTTGTGTCTTTCTTTGTGTCCAGGTGTCTGTGTGTCTGTGTATCTGTGTGTCCGGTTGCCTGTGTGTCGGTGTGTCCGTGCGTCAGTGTGTCTGTGTGTCTGTGTTTCTGTGTGTCAGTGTGTCGGTGTGTCCGTGTGTCTGTGTTTCTCTGTGTCTGTGTGTCTGTGTGTCTGGTTGTCTGTTTGTCTGTGTGTTTGTGTGTCTGTGTGTCCCTGTGCGTGTCCGTGTGTCTGTGTGACCGTGTGTCTGCGTGTCCGTGTGTCCGTGTGTCTGTGTGTCTGTGTGTCTGTCAGTCTGTGTGTGTTGGTGTTGGTGTGTCTGTGTGTCAGTGTGTTGGTGTCAGTGTGTCCGTGTGTCCGTGTGTCTGTGTGTCTGTGTGTCTATGTGTCTGTATGTCTGTGTGTCTGTTTGTCTGTGTGTCCGTGTGCCTGTGTGTCTGTGCGTCTGTGTGTCTGTGTGTCTGTGTGTCTGTGTGTCTGTGTGTCAGTGTGTCTGTGTGTCTGTATGTCCGTGTGTCTTTTGTGTCCGTGTGTCCGTGTGTCCGTGTCTGGGTGTCTGGTTTTCTGTGTGTCTGTGCATCCTTGTGTCTGCGTGTCTTTGTGTCTGTGTGTCTGCGTGTCTGTATGTCAGTATGTCTGTGTGTCAGTCTGTCTGTCTGTGGATCTGTCTGTTTGTTTGTCTTTCTGTGCGTCTGTGTATGTGTGCTTGTCTGTCTGTCTGTGCGCGTGTATTTGCGTGTGTGTGTGCGCGCGTGTGTGTGTGTGTCAGTGTCTGTGTGTGCGCGCGTGGCGCTGGCAGCCCCGTCGGTCTGTCTGTCTGTGTGTTTGTCTGTCTGTCTGTCTGTTCGTCTGTGTGTCTGTGTGTCTGTGTGTCTGTGTGTCTGTGTGTCTGTGTGTCTGTGTGCCTGTGTGCCTGTGTTTCTGTCTCTCTGTGTGTCTGTGTGTCTGTGTGGCTGTGTGGCTGTGTGTCTGTGTGTCTGTGTGTCTGTGTGTCTGTGTGTCTGTGTGTCTGCGTGTCTGTGTGTCTGGGTGTCTGGGTGTCAGTGTTTTTTTTTTGCGTCTGTGTGTCTGTGTGTCAGTGTGTCAGTGTGTCTGTGTATCTGTTTGTCTGTGTGTCTGTGTGTCTGTGTGGCTTTGTGCCTGCGTGTCTGTGTGCCCTTGTGTTTGCGTGTCTGTCTGTGTGTTGGTGTTTCTGCGTGTCTGCGTGTGCCTGTGTGTCTGTGTGTCTGTGTGCCTGTGTGTCTGTGTGTCTGAGTGTCTGTGTGTCTGTGTGCCTGTGTGTGTGTCAGTGTGCCTGAGTGTCTGTGTGTCTGTGTGTTTGTGTATTTGCGTGTCTGTATGTCTGTGTGTTTGTTTGTCTGCGTGTTTGTGTGTCTATGCGTCTGTGTGTGTGTCTGTGTGTCTGTGTGTTTGTGTGTCTGTGTGTCCGTGCGTCTGTGTGTCTGTGTGTATGTGTGTCTGTGTCTGTGTGTCTGTGAGCCTGGTTTTCTGTCTTTCTGTCTTTCCTTGTGTGTGTGTGTCTGTATGTCTGTGTGTCTGTGTGTCTGAGTGTCCGTGTGTCTGTGTGCCTGTGTGTCTGTGTCTGTGGGTCGCTGTGTCTGTGCGTCTGCGTGTCTGTGTGTCTGTGTGTCCCTGTGCTTGTGTGTCTGTTTTTTTTTTGTATTTCTGTGTGTCCGTGTGTCTGTGTGTCTGCGTATCTGAGTGTCCGGTTGCCTGTGTGTCTGTGTGTCCGTGTGTGAGTGTGTCTGTGTGTCTGTGTTTCTGTGTGTCAGTGTGTCAGTGTGTTAGTGTGTATGTGTGTGTATGTGACTGTGTGTCTGTGTGTCTGTGTGTCTGCGTGTCTGTGTGTCAGTGGACATCGGGCTGGGGGTTGGCTGTGGACATGCAGGGGAATGAGCTGGATCGGTCGGCGGGGTCCGCCTGGCATTCGGGCCGACAGGACAGGGCTGTGCAGGGGTTTTGGGTTTCGAAGAGGGAATGAAGGGTGTGTGTGTGTATGTGTATGTGTGTGTGTGTGTGCGTGTGCGTGTGTGTGTGTGTGTGTGTGTGTGTGTGTGTGTGTGTGTGTGTGTGTGTGTGTGTGTGTGTGTGTGTGTGTGTGTGTGTGTGTGTGTGTGTGTGTGTGTGTGTGTGTGTGTGTGTGTGTGGGTGGGGGGCCTCCTCCTCCTGCCGTGCCAACCGTCCTCGTTCTCCAGGTTCGCCCTGCTGTCGTCTACCAGAGGGCTGAAAAAGTGCCAGGGCAGAGAGAAGGGTCGCAACTCCTGGGAGGTTTCCCTGGGCGCGACCAGCACTTCCCAAGCAGCATTGAAGAACTGTCGAGCTGGATCAGGCCAAACTTCTCACGAATCGGTGTTTGCCGCTCCTGGTGCCGACGAAGGCTGAAACCGGCAAGCATTGGACCTCAGTCCTGTCCCTCAGGATCCTTTTCTCGATGGTGACTTGAAATCTCCGCCTGGCCCTGGAAAAAGGTCGAAACCGAGGGAGACGGGCAAACCCTCTCTGCCCCAGCCGCCCTTGGAACCCTCCAGGACTAGCAGCAACATCTTGCCGAAGGGGACACCGTAGTGCTGCTGTATCCTCCTCATGTGATGCCTCTTGCCTCGCTCGGCAGGAAGATCGCCGTGCAGCCTGCAGCCGCTGGGCTATACAAGGGAGGGCACACAGTGAGCGGATGAAAGGATGAGGGGCAGGAGACGCCAGGAGGAGTAACGAAAAATGAGGAAGGGGGGCAAGAGGATGGAGGGAGGAGGAAGAGGGGGGCGTTTGGAGGGCGGGGGTAAGGAGAGGGAGGGCGGGGAGGGAGGGGGTGAAGACGGAAAGAGGGAAGAGCAGGAAGAGGGGGGGAGCAGGAGACGCAGGAGAGGTGGGAGGGTGGTGGAAAGCGACGGGAGGGGACAAAACCAAGTATCATACTTCGAACAGTCACCACTAATACAATACTGTGCATGCTGATGCAAGGTCCTGAAAAGTGCTGCTGATGTATGCTGATGGTGTGGTTTTTCATGTGGTTGATGCGAATTGCTTGTGCACCTGTTGTCGATGTGTACAATAGCTGCTTCGTCTTGGTGCATTGCATGACTTATCGTTATATGTTCACGCTATTGGTGTGTATCGCTGAAGTCCGTTATGTGTGTGCAAACTTGATGGCTGCGTCTGGAGTGCAAAACTGGGATCGGATCGTGGAGTCCGTGGTTGATGCATGTTCGTGGTGTCTGTGCTCGTGCATGCGTCCTTGGCGTATGTATAGGATGTGCGCTCTTGCTGAAGAATAGTTGCGACCGTGCTTGATAGCTGCGGTCGGTGAACGATGCATGATACAGGCTATTGCTCACATGCTGTAGACGACCCCAAGCACCCAAGAAGGCCCCCACAGAAGCCGACAACGAGGAACAAACTCCACGGCCCGTTCCCCTCAGGACCCGCTTCTTGCACGGCGACACGCGGCGGGTCCTGGAAACCCTGACACCCCAAACCTGTTGCCACCTCGCGGGGGCGCCTCTCTTGTTCCCTGATCAGCCTGGAACATATCCCTATCCCTAAGCTGGGCATCGCCTCATCACGATGCCAATCTTAGGGAGTCCCTTATTTTTGGAGGGCGCATCCCTAAGAATGTCATCGCCTTTTGGCGTGTCGATCTTAGGGATAAGGATAAGTTCGAGGCTGGTGATTCCCGCCAACTTCCACGGGCGAAGGCGTCCTCGTTTTCCTTCCGCCGCCCCTCCCGCCGCCGACCGCCGAGAAAGCGATGGCAGATCCGATCCTGGCAGTCGACGGCCTTTTTTTGAGGGGCCCCAGGACACACAAATAAATATACACAAATAAACAGATTCCCAATATTTTTTAATATTTTTGGGGTTTCTGTCTTCCCCTCCACTTCCCATATTTTCCCATCTTTTCTTGGGAATCGATGATTAATTGTGTCAATGTGTTTTTTCCCCTCCTGATTCTTCCGGAACGCCGCACGCGGCGACGGCTGCGGCGCCCCAGGCTTCGAAGCGAGGCTCGGAGGCCAAATACTTACATGATGAACATTAACTCTCGGAGGTCCGCGCTGGTTTCTCGGATCGGCGCTGCCTGTCCCCCGGCGCGCGGAGCGCGCCAGGGGCGGCGCCGGAGGCGCCGCTGGGGGGCTCCGAAAGTTCACGCTTATGCAACTGCTTCTTCTTATTTCCCTTCGGAGACGCAAGACTCGGGTACGGGGGACTCGGGTTGTCCTGACGGCGCCACCATAAAATGACGAGACCCAATCTGAAATTTGGCGCGAGATCACGACCGTCAAAATCCAGGACGCGCTCGTCAAAAGACGTCGGCTAACCCGAGTTCCGGCTTACCCGAGTCTTACGTTTCCCCGATCCTGGATAGGGCCCGGGCAGATGGGTTCGGAGGATCGCGACGCATCGCCGATGCATACCGACACACCGACGATGTATCGAAGATGCACCGGCGATGTCGGCGATGCGTCAGCGACCTCGGCGTGAAGGAAATCGGGCTCCACATCGAGCCACATCGCCGATGCGTCAGCGATGCGCAGCGATCTTTCGACCCCATTCACTCCGCACATCGAGCCGCATCGCCGACGCGTCGGCGATGCGCAGCGATCTTTCGACCCAATTCACTCCGACCCCATCTATTAACGGGCGAAGAACGGTGTAAACTTTCCAGCCGCCCTGGGGCAGGCGCCCCCGACAGCGAAAAAGATTATGTTATACCGTTCTTCGCCCGTTAATTCACTCCGACCCCCATCTAGGAGGCCCAGATCCACAAGACGATCCAGGGCACGAAACGTGGCGATTGTGAAGGGGCCCAAAGACACACAAATAAATACACGCAAATAAATCTATTCCTCATATTTACCCATCTTTTCTGGGTTTCTGCCTTCCCCCCCATCTTTTCTGGGGAATCGACGATGAATTGCTGAGATTGCTGCGATGGCGAAGCGTGCCGACGGCGGCGCCGCCGGAGGTGCCGACGCGGGGCGGGGCCTGCTGTCGTAGCCGACCAGGATGCCCAGGCCAGGCAGGGCCTCGGGTGCCCCCGGGCAGGCTCCGCCTCCCACCCCCCCCCTCCTCCTCCTCGTCCTCCTCCTCCTCCGCCTCCTCCTCCTCAGCTCCTCCTCCTCCTCCTCCTCCTCCTCCTCCTCCTCCTCCTCCTCCTCCTCCTCCTCCTCCTCCTCCTCCTCCTCCTCCCCTCCCCCTCCTCCTCCTCCTCCTCCTCCTCCTCCTCCTCCTCCTTCCCCTCCTCCCCTCCTCCTCCTCCTCCTCCTCCTCCCCCTCCTCCCCCTCCTCCTCGTCCTCCTCCTCTTCCTCCTCGTCCTCCTCGTCCTCCTCCTCCTCCTCCTCCTCCTCCTCCTCCTCCTCCTCCTCTTCCTCCTCCTCCCCCCCTGCTCGATTTCCTTGACCCGCGTCTGGGCCCCCCTCCCTTGGCGCGAAGAGCGCGCCAGGGGCGGCGCCGGAGGCGCCGCTGGGGGGGGGCCCAGCACGGATCCACGAAATCCACGCGGAGCTCCAAACGTTTCTGCTTTTGGCGTTTTTCCTCTTTCGATCCTCCTCCTCCTCCCTCCGCGGCATCGCGGCCCATCCCTTGCCCTTCGATCCCCCTCCTCGCCTCCCTCCTCTCCCTCCTCCGGCCTCGCCCCCTCCCGCTCGCCCACCCTTCCCTGACTTCTGGACGCCCGCCCGGGCCCCGGGGCACGGCCTCGGGGCACTGCCGCCGCACCAGCTCCGCCGCCAGGTCCGGGCCCAGGACGGGGCCCCCGGCCGGCTCGGGGGTCCGGGGCCGACCCGCCCACCGAGGTCGGGACGAGGAGGGGAGGGATGGATCGGACAATGCTGATGACGATGATGACGATGACGATGATGATGACGATGATGACGATGACGATGACGATGATGACGATGATGATGATGATGATGATGATGATGATGATGATGATGATGATGATGATGATGATGGCAATGATGATGATGATGATGATGATGACGATGACGATGACAATGATGATGATGATGAGGATGATGCTGATGATGACGATGACGAAGATGATGATGATGATGGTAGATGATGATGATGCTGATGATGATGATGTTGATGATGATGATGAACAAGGTTATGTTGATGAAGATGATGATGATGAGCAAGCTGATGCGGATGACGATGATGCTGAAGAAGATGCTAATGAAGACGATGATGCAGATGATGATTATGATGAGTTAGAGGATGATGATTAAGAATTATATGGTGATGCAGATGATGAGTGATTACCTGATGATGATGATGATGATGATGAAGAAGAAGCTCATGATGGTAATGATGATGTTGACGATAATGATGGTGGTGATGGTGATTGTGATGGTCCATCGTGATGATGCGGGCGGAAGTCGCAGGATGGGATGGGGGGGAGGTGAGGAGATAAGCTAGGTGCGCTAGCGCCACATCTGACGTCCGACCCCTCCCTCCCATTGCTTACCACGGCGAAGATCTCCTAAGTATCTATATTCGCGCAGTCGGCTGTCGACCAGGGCAAATATCCCAGGAGAGTACACGGTGGATGGAAAAGCATGGCGCAGAAGAGCACGGCAGAGCATAGCATTTCATAGCATGGCGTGGCATTGCGTAGTGGAGCATTGCATCACAAAGCATAGCAACTCAAAGCATGGCATCGCAGCGGTGCACAACACAATATCACATTGCATGCAGTGGCATGGCACTGGATGAATTGGAGGGTAAATGGCCCGTCTACGAGAAGACAACGCCTGTTCGGAATGGCGGCTCAATGTCCTCCGCAACCGTGCCTGCCCGATGAGGGCGCTTTCGAATGCCAAGTGACGTCCGTAGGCGCAGGAACGAGGCCAACGCTGCAGCGGGAGCACGATTTTAAATGACCGAAGCACGGAAATGAGAGCGGCGCTGCAGCGGGAGCACCATTATGGAAGAACCAGAAATGACCGGATTTAAAAGGCACACGGGACAAAAACCAAAGGGTGAAACCCTGCATGTGAAAGCAACACGTGGAATGGACGGTAGACTCTCCAGACAGAGCCAGGGTAGAGAGAGTAGTTTTCATGTTGTGAAAATTGTGGAGGGTGCGCAGGGGGGGGACAAACTAGGTGCGCTCGCATGGACGCCCTAACCCTCCCTCCCATCCGTTCTCCGTGGCTTAGACCTCCTCTCTGTTCGCACAGTCGGACGTCGTAGCAGGGCATGGCATTGCATGGCACAGCATGGTGTTGAAAATCAACGTGTAGCCTGACATAGCATGGCGTGGCGACGCCCCATAAGGTGGGAGCTTATGCGGCCCAAACAATCAACGAATCGACACCGAATGGGTTATAATTGCCGATGGTTGCTTCGATGGGTCATTCTCTGGATTTTGGGGCCGATTTGGAAGAACCGAAAAACATGTCGTGGCATGGCGCTGGAAATACTGACCCCAACACTGCATCGGGAGCACGATTCGGACCGAGCGGAAGCGCGGAAATGAGGCCAGCGCTGCAGCGGGAGCACGATTCGGAGGACGCGTAGTCTGACATAGCATGGCGTGGTGACGCCCCAAAGTGTGGGGGGGGGAGCCCCGGCGACCCCAAAAATCAACGAATCGACACCGAATGTGGAATCACCTCCGATGTTTTTTTCCAGAGGGTATTTTCTAGATGTTGGTGCTTATTTGGAAAGACCGAAAACCATGCCGTGGCATGGCGCTGGAAAGGCGGAAAAGGGGGCGAAAAGGTGGGGGGGTCGCTGGAAGGAGCGGGAGGAGGAGGAGGAGGAGGAGGAGGAGGAGGAGGAGGAGGAGGAGGAGAACGAGGAAGAATGAAGAAGGAAGAGGAGCAGGAGAAGGAGGGAGGCCGAGAAGCATGGAAGATCCGAGGAGGGATAGGGGTAGGAAAGAGGGAGGGAGGAGGGAGCAGGAGGGAGGATGAGCGGATCTGGCATGAGGGCAAAACATGTCGAGGAAAGGAAGAGGTCGGGGTCTGAGCAGGAGGGGCGGGGACGAAGAAGGGGAAGGCAGAGGAGGAGGAAGGAGGGGAAGAGGGAGAAGGCAAGGATGGTCAGAGGAGGAAAGGGAAGCATGGGCAGGGGATGCAGCCGAGGAGGCATGGGAGGAGGAACGAAACGAGAAGAAGAAGGAGGAGAGCTGGCGGGGGGGGCCTAAGCAGACGGCCGCCCCCTTCGACGGCCCCCCCCTTTGGCCCTCGACCCCTCGCGCTGGTCCTTGCCGCCGTCCCCCGGGGGCCCAAGGAGGCACAAATACACATACACACATCCCAGGATTCCCCATATATATTTTCTGGGCTTTCGTCCTCCCTCCCACTTCCTAAATTTTCCCATATCTTCCTGGGGGTCGACGATTCATTGTGTATGTGCGATTCTTTCCCTCCTGATCCTCCTCCTGCCAAACCACCATCGGCGACTCCGAAGGGTGTGGTTTGCAAGGGGTGTGGTTTGCAACGGGCACCCTTGGGGGGCGGGAGAGGACCTCGGACAAAACTCCCCGCCGCGCCCCGAGGAGGCCCGACGAGGACAGCGTCGTGCCTCCCCAGGCCCCGGCGGCGCCGATCGCAAACCACACCCCGGCGTAACCATACCTTTTGCAGTCGCCGGCGCCCAGTCGAGCCGCCAGACGTGCCTGGTCGGCCGGGCGGGGTGTTTTGTTGAGCATTTTTTGTAATAAGTGAAATCGTTTTCTCTGTAACGTATGAAGTGCTTGGAGCAGACTGCAACAGCAAGGATGGGTCGCAGCTCGTTTTAAAAAGTGCGGCTCGCACCTTTCACGAAGTCGTGATGCCTTTTGTTTGAGGGCATGCTACAAACGGCTCTCGGGAAGGAGGGTTGGTGGGTTCCGAAATACAATGCACGCTTTAGCGCTGACCAACTTCGTTAATCAAGTTTTCAATGTCATTACGATGGGGGCGGGCTCGTTTGCAACAAGGATCGCGCATTAACGCTGCGCACGCTCGACCCAACACACTGTAACCGTTACGCGGATGGAAGATCGCTGCGGCTGTCGCGTTGGCGCCACGCGCGCGATGCGCGATGATCCATTCAATCAGCCGTAAGGATGGAATGCGGCACCCGTGTGAGATTTCGTAAAATGATTTGGCCCGGAATTCAAAACTGTGCAAGAGTGGACATGGAGGAAGAAATTTCAATTAGCTGTTCAAAACGCGAATTTCGGTTTAGACCTTTGCAGCGCTTACACGTTTGGAGGATCCTTTTCCAAAAAGAGGCTATCGCTTGACACTTTCGTGAGTTGTGTCATGTCATCTTGCGCTTTGTCTGAAAGGGTGGAAGTGGATCCTCGACAAAACGGGGTCTCGTCTGAGTGGCACGCCTTTTGGTCGCTCGTCATTCAAGGGGGCGCTGCACGCAGTGGAGAGGAAGACTTGTATGGGCTCGTGAGCAGGGGGGGTTTGGGACGCGATGGTGTGATTATTGGGTTCACTCTGCTTTTCTACCTTTAGTTCGGGCCTGTCTCTCTACAGGGGGGATACTCAAACATAGTAAAACGTTTTTTTTTTTTTTTTTATATATATATATATAAAAAAAATTGTTTGACCATTTTGGGTAATGTTTGAAACTGTTCCATTTATCCTCGAGGGGGGCACGCCCGACTGAATTCTACGTACCTCCTCTTCCTCCTCCTCCTCATCCACCTCTTCCTCCGCATCTTACTCCTCAGACTTCCCCATATCGGCCACACAAGCGCGCCAGACTTAATTCTGCCTCCCCCACCTCCTCCTCCTCCTCCTCCTCCTCCTCCTCCTCCTCTAGGAGTCAGAAAAAAAACACACACGCAAAGGAATTTCACACAAAGGGTTTTGGCACCACCAACGGTGCAACGCATGTGCACACATGCCACTGGATCCCCAGCGATCCGAAGCAGGGTTGATGCACGGCCACGCTCTAGGATGCAATTGACACGCACGGTGCGGCAAGGCTGTCGGCGGTGACGAGATCCAACGAACCGCTACCGACAAACATCCCATGGTGTTTTGGCACAGACAAAACGCCGTGCAACGTCAGTTTGTTCATCCGTTGACAGCAGCGCGCGTTGCGGCAGCAGAACGCACTAGCGCGCGCGGGTATGCAGGGCCGTCGACGTGGCTGGCCAGCTGCCAGCGCGACTTCGGCAGAAGAGCCACAATTCACGTAGCATCGTTTTGGGCGTGGTATCCGGCGCAGCTGCATCGCACTGCCAGGCGCCGCGGCCTTGCGATTGTTGCGACAAGCCCCGCGCGCTCCTCGAGGCGGGAAAGCAAGCTCTACACAAAATAATCGCGCGTGCTCTTGTGGGGGCGGCGGAAACGATCGTACGCAAAGGAAATTCCTTTGTGGGCTCCCCGCGTTGGCAGTGTAACCGAACCGCACACAAAGGAATTACACGAGACATCGTGGCACACAAAAGAATTACAACAACGCCCTTTGGGTTGCGCTCTTCGCGCACGGCGAAGGCTCCGAGCTGGAAAGGAAGGGGGGGCGGGACAAGGCAAAACGGGGGAAGGGGGAAAAAAAGAGGACGGCGAGAAAGAAGCGAAGGACGCAACGGAAGGAAGCCAGGATGCGCGCAAGCGACAGTGCGCGCCGAGACAGTTGTTCGTTCGTTCGGTTGGCCGTGCGGCAGACGAATCGAAAAAGAATTGTTTGCTGCCTATCGAAAGAACTTCTTGGGGATGAGACTCGCGCTCTCTTCCCGACCCCCTTTTTTCCCACACCCCGTTGCGAACGCGCGACGATTTGCCCTGGCCCGCGGGCAGAGGACT